TGTCTGTTAATCTTTACACCTTTTGTTGATTAATAAGGAGAGCTGAGGATTTAGAGATGGGTTTATAGACAATGAGGTGACGTATGGAATGAAGATGTGTTTTGTAGTATTTTAAGAGACAGTGATAAGTTATTCATGTTGTATATACTTGCTGGGAATGAAGGGGAAAGTCTCTTCTTACTACTTGTTTTTGGTGGGGGGATTTTTTTTCTTTGCACTGTCTTATATTTTTTAAATCTATTTTTACTTGATTTTATATTAGTTCTATCTGTTTTATATAATCTTTGATAAAAATTATTTAAAAAAATAAAAGAAAAATATCTTTACACTTGTCCCAGTTTGTGCCAGCTTCCAATGGAAGGTTCTCATCTGCAAAAACTGAGTTGGCTTATGACTTTTTCCAGAACAGGGCCATTTTTCTTTCAGTAGGATTGCTATCCATTCTGTAGAAGAGTTTTTCCAGAATTTCTTTCTTTGCAATACAGTACCTGCTTTAAAACATAACTGCATGGATATTGACCATTTATAAGCATTAACTGTTAGCATGGGTGAACCTTTGGCTGCTTAGAAAACTAAGCAGCAAATCCATGATTAGTACTTCAATGGGGACATCTGGGACTTCAGGGCTACAGGCTAGAGTGCAAGTTTAAAAAAAAAAAAAGTGTGGAAGAAAGCAATGGCAAACTACTTCCATAACATGCCAAGAAGACTGGACTTTCATATAAAATACCAGGAGCTGAGTTTTGTTTGAAGATGATTTTACTTTTACTATTTATCAGGGATGCTGTTATATAAGTTAGAACCCAGAAATAGTAAAAGGTCTGAGGAATGCAACATACCCAAATAACAATAATTTGGCCATATTATATTCCGTGAGGGATACCCATGTTGCTGTAAGATCAGTTGACTTGCTAAACTAGGAAGCCCTCTCCCTACCAGCCTTTTTAATTAGGCAGCAACACTGATACTTTCACTTTCAGTTTTAAAGGAGTTTGGATATGGTGCAGAGTTAAGCTGCTGTCATGTCTCACATCTACATTTCTTCAACAAGCATTACAAATAGGAGGAGGACAGGATCTCTGCTGAATTTTAAAAATGTATATGGCACTGATCTGCAGACTTTCCAGCTGTGGAGTGCTGCATATACTTATGGAGCAGCTTATTTGTATTCCTGAAGAAAACTATCTTCACAAATCAAGAAATACTTTATATTCATCATTTGGCACAGAG